GCCTAACTGTACATGTGATCAGGGAAAATAAAATGTGATTTTGTGCACTAATCTGGCTACTCTGTATTTGCAACACGGTATAACAGCTCTGTTTGTAAGATCTTGGGGTTAACTTAAATTGTAAGCAGGCAAATGGCTGGTGAAGAGGTATAGTGAGCAAGGAGAAAGGGCTGCAGGCTTAATTAAATAACTGACAGCTGGTTCATGCGGAACAGTGAAAGCTGTAATAAGAGACCATTTGAAGAGAGGATGTATGCCATTAACCAAGATACCCAGTCAGTTTGCTAAGGGGAGCTACAGAAACAGCCCCTATCGAGATAGCAGGAGGAGTAGCAGTAAAGGGACTGACCCTTTTCCTGCAGTGATCTCATGCTCAAGTATCTGAAGAGCTGTGACTTTAACCTTAATCACCTCTGTAGTGTATTTCAGGTTGGCCAATAAATGGTAGCACCTTAAATTGATACCTGAACACCTCAGGGAAAAATCGTCATCGAGAGTTACCAAGGAGATGTGTGTAACATTGGCATGCGGAGAGCAAGGCAGGGAGGGAGCCACTCGTCTGCGAGGGTGCAGTGCCAGCTGAAGTATATGGGTGATTAGGTGTGAGATGGATTTGATGGCTGCCTGGCTCCCCATGTGAGAAAGAAGACCCCTTTTCACTCCCTGGTCATCCACAAGCACCTCCAGGAACATATGAAAATCTGAAAGTGAAATAAGTTTTGTTCTGTGCTCTGGCTGGGATGGGTTTGAAAGCTGAAAATAACCTCTTTATAATGCAGTAACTTCCATAGTGCTGTAACCTTTTTATGGTGCTATGATGCTATCACCTCCTTATGTAAAGTTTCAAATCAGACTAACTACAACCTGAATTTGCATTTATTTAGTCGGATTTGAATGTGTTGACCTGAACTTGAATTTTATTCAATACCAGAACCCAAACTTGAATACCTTTACCTGAAGTTAGAAACACAGAACTTGAATTCATTACCCAAACTTGAATTTATGTTGCTTGTGTAGTAATACAAATTCAAGTACAGGGTGTAAAATTCAGCTCTTGAAAATGTGGATTCAGGTACAGAAAATTCGGGTTGAGAATTCAGGTTCAGAAAAAAAGGAAAAGCATCCAGGATACTCAGAAAGAATAAAACAACATAAATCTAACGCAGAACAATCATGGCTAATCACAAGACAGGTCACTTGAGATGGAGTTTTCTACATCCACCATCATATGATAACATGCTGCAAACTCAGAAAAGACTTTTACAGAAATTCCAATACACACATGCAAAAAAAAAAAAACACGGCAAATCAGCTCACAACACAACAGAAGTTTCCAAGGGACTCTAGATGAACCATTAGGGTTGGGTGGTATATCAAAATATATATCAATATATTTTCTTAATGAGACAGTGGATGGCACAATACTGTTTATATTGATATAATTGTATCATGCATTAAACTAGGGCTCTATTAAAGATTTTTAATAGAGACCTATAGTATTTCTTCCTGGTCATATGCAACATGAGAGGTGTGGTAGTGACATTACACATTATCCTAGTATTTACAACTAATATCAAATGAGCACAAACAACATGACAAGGGGCACCAAACAAGTAGGAATTGGACCAGGGACCAACGGGACAACAGAAGAGACCAACGGACAGAGCCACTCAGACGAAACAGACGAGACTTAGGACAGGATCAGGCATCAGGAAAAAACATCAGACCTTAATGTAGACCAGGGAGCAAAAGAGGCAGAGAGAAGACAGCAGTGGAAACAGAAGAGGAAGCCACTGAGGACACAAACCAGAAAAAAGGCAGAACAGGGCAAGACAGGGACTGAGGCTCAATGAACAAAAACAGGGGGCCTCCAGGAAGTCTTCCCGACCCTGGGGAGCTGTGCAATGGCCTTGGGATGCCAGTGGGCCCATTCACTGGCCCCATCTTGCACCATTTATTGCACCAGGACTTAGGACCAGGTTGGTCTAAGGTGGGGGCCCACAGAGCGGGACTTAGGGCAAGGCCCAGAGGGTCCCACTCCAAGTCCTCCAGCTGAGCATCATCTGGGTCAGCCCAACCTGGTCAGGCAGTTGTCGGGGAGTTAGGTGTCTGTCTGGCAGCAGTCAGGTAGTCAGGCATTGACCGGGCGGTGGTTGGGGAGTTGGACTTCAGCCTGGTGGCAGCCGGCAGCAAGCAGGAGGCTGTGAAGCGGGCACGAGAGAGACGACAGGAGACAAGGTGGGTGCCTGGGCGATGACTGAGGATGAGGTTGGGCATTGGCAGGACATCAAGAAATGCATGGGTGAGTCACGTGGAGGTGAACAGGCTGAGGCCAAGACATCTAGAGGCAAGTGGGGCAAGGCTGAGATACCTGGAGGTGAGCAAGGCTTAACCAGGATGCATAGAGGCTAGCAGGGTGAAGCTGGGACACCTGGATCAGGTTCTTGTGGCATAGCTGCCACCGATGTGGCCTTTCTGGGCCGGTAGCCTGGGACTCAGGTGGAGAGCCAGAAGCCCGGCGTGTGGGTTTAGCAGCCCTCTCTGGGCCAGGAGCCTGACATATGGCCTCTGCGGGGTGCAACAGAGGCTTAAATGGAGGTACAGCAGGGGCAAGCACAGGGTCTGAGGATGCAGCAGAGGTGTAGATGGACCTTGAGGACATGGCAAGGACAATGACAAGTAGAACGGGACTCTAGCAGCTCGAGACAAGTAGTGGCCCCTCCTGGGCTGGACTTTGGAAGATCAAGCGAAGCAAAGATGGCCTCACCTGGGTCAGGTGCTGGGAGGTATGGTGGTGGCCTCTCCTGGACTGGGCGCTGTGGACAGGCAGAGCTGCAGCTAGCCTTGGGGAGCCAGCAGGCAAATCAGCGGCTGCCTTTGATGAGCCAGCAAGCAAATAGTGGCAAGCGAACCAACGGGTGAATCTGTGGAGAGCTGAGTGGCTTCACACAGTTGAGAGTAGGCATGCAAAGCGGCTCCACGCAATGGAGAGCCAGCATGCTGAGTGGCCTCATGTAGCAGAGAGAGACAGCAGACTGAGGTGCAGTGAGCAAAGCACCTCTATGTTTAGGAGAAGCAGCGGGCTGACTTGCTTCAGGAAGCGAAAAGGCGGCAGACTGAGTAGTCTCGCAGTTGATTATTCCCCGAACTGCCTTTTGGGATCCGCTCCTGGCGTGACTCTCTCAAACATTCTCTACACAGACCAGAAGAGTGCTTCGGCATTGGGGATCCTCCAAACCGCAGGATTAGTCCTCAGCTCCAGGGTGGTTTCCAGGAGGGAAAGGAAGTCCTCCGCTTGAAGATGAGGGACCTCCCATGGTGCTGGCAACCCCATCGACCGTTGAATCCAAGGCACTTGAAAGCCAGAGCGGAAGCACAGGCTGCAGGGGTTGTTTAAGAGTCTGGTCATTCTGTTGTGATGTTGGGGATGAATGACTCGAGTGCAGGTGTTGGGGTGAAACAAAAAGGGGTTTTATTGAACTCAGTGGAACAAAGATTGAAAATAACCTGGATCAAAAGGGACCAAAACGGGAGGACTGGAACGCGAGAGAGCACACGCAATGAGAAGGTTTGACTTCAATGACGGGAACAAACAGGTACACACACAGACTAATAAAAGGCAACAAGGATCAGGTGTTGCCCAATAGGGCTACGTGATGGAAAAGACAGGAGGGTCAGGCAGACGTGGCGGGCAGGAAGTTGATGAATCATTGCACAATTCAATTCAATTTACTATTATATAGCACCTTTCACAACAGAGTCACCCCAAGGCGCTTTACATGGGTGTGATACATTACAACATCAGTAAGACAAAATAATACAAAAACATATTGTTTTAATAAAACAGTTTGTGTGGTTTAGATTTAAATCTGAACAATTTCTGTGCTTCATATAAATATTGTGTATTACTAATCTGCCTAAAAATACTTAGATATTGTTTTTTTGCTTAGCCCTATGGACCATACAGTGGAGATGAGGGACATGCAGTTTCCTAAGTCATGAACTACATGAGTGTTTTTTCTTTTAGCAGACTATGGCTGTGTCCAAATTTATGGCCTGCGTCCTTATAAGGCTGCATTTGAAATGTATGTGCTACAGTAGTACAAAAAATCTGTCCCATTTCGAAGGCATCTTTAAATATGGTCTGGATCATTCAAAGGAAGCAGCCCCTGAATTAGGACACAACCTATAATTGCGTTTACATGTGATAACCTGATTACAGTGTTTACATGTGTTCTTAATAACCTGATCTAATAGCATTTACATGACTAGCTCATTAAAAACACATGAGAACATCTTAAATTGGTTGTCACGTGTAAACATTTCAGCTAACAAGAAAAGTTAACAGATCTCACTTTGTGACTTGAGAAACTGCACATCCTTTATCTCCAGTGGTGGCCTAATGGTTAGGGATGTGCACTTTTAATCAAAAGATTGCTGGTTTGAATCCCTGACCAATAAGTACCACTGAGGTTCCCTGGGCAAGGTACTGCTTCCTGGGTGCTGAATTAGCTACCCCCTATTATGTCACAATGTGAAATATGGTTTAAATGTAGAGGACACATTTTGTTGTTGTGCACTGGGTGCTATGTCGTATCAACATTGACAACTAATCACTTTCCTTTCCCTTCCTCTGTATGGTCTGTAGGGCTTGCCGGAATTGGCCGCAAACCATATCTTGTTATTAACCACATGACTAAGGTGGTGGATCTAGAGAATCCCAACTCAAATGACTGGTGACCTGTCTTGTGATCGGCCAGGATTGTACTTGATTAGATCTAGGCTCAGTTGCTCTTTCCACATATCCTGGATGTTTTCCCTGTTTTTCTGAAGCTGAATTTGTAAGCCCAAATCTTCTCAACCTGAATCTCACAACCTAAACTTTCTAGAATTGAATTTTACAACCCGAACTTGAATTTTTATTACTACAAAAGCAACATAAACTGAAGTTCAGGAAATTAATTCCAAATTCAATTTCTTTAATTCAGGTTCAAATAAAGGTATTCGGAAGTTCAGGTTCTTTAATTCAACTTCAGGTAAACAGATTCAAATTCAGATTCTGATATTCAGGTAATGAAACTCAAGTTCAGGTAAACATTAATATTTGGGTTGTAGAATTCAAATTCAAGTTGTGGTGAGTCTAATTTGATGCCATACTTATGGTGCTATGATGCAGTAACCTCCTTATGGTACTGTGATGCTATATTTATGGTGCTTTAATGCCTCAGGCTGCAGGGGATGTTGAGTTTTGGGTACCTGCCGGGGGGCTAAGCTGAGGATCGCTTTACGCTATGCGAATAGCGCTGCAGCTCCAGATGACGTTTTTGTGTGGATGATGCAGAGTCCTATCTGGTATTGCACCAAGCCTTACCTTTATCAGCAGCAGCTGCCCCTCAGCGTAAATACAGCCACATCTTATTTTCCTGCCCAGCCAACCATCAAGAGACCCAAAGATTTTGGACCTCTACCTTTCTAACAGATTAAAAAATGCCATTCATATTACTTGGAGACCAAGTGTATGCACTGGAGAAAGTGTACAAAAGCTTGCAGTGGCAAGCAGAGGGAGGTCTCATACGCAACTGTGGTTTTTACCTCTTGGAGAAGGAATATCTGTGCTAGGAGTGAATCAGTCTTGCTAGCTGGTAGAGGGTCTGGCTTTGACATTTGGACTGGCTCTTCTGTTTTGGATAACCATGTCATGTTTAATACGAGCCCTACCATTCCTGTAGAAAAAATCCTGTGCATTTCAGTTAACAAATTTCCTTCTTGGCTTGCAGGCTTTTTTTCTAGCTAAATTTGCATCTTCTGTAGATTGAGCGTCTACTTCAATATAAGACACATAATGAATTGTTAGGAATCAAGACATTTTTTTGTCTACACAAGGGTCAAGTGTCTTCTAAAAACAATACATCTACATTCCTCACTGAATTAGTGGGTTTTAACTTTCTAATTTCCATATCTCTGAAACGTGGTTTTTGTACATATCATCCTAATGAATATGAGCTGGGGTGCTGAAATGCCAACAGCACAGCTGTCACTCCAAAACACGCATGCAACATTCCATTAAACAGTTGCTGTGTAACATACAGCTCTCCTTTGGGCACATAAACACTCCACTTATTGGCAAAGGACTGTTTAAAATGTCTGTTTAAAGTAACGTGCCACAAGAAGTCTGTGTACTGGCCCCATCAGTGCAAAAGGACTATATCTTATAGACGGTCAGCAGTTTGTTGTAGACTCAACGCTACCCAGACCATCCAGAGATTTTGAACAATCACTTGTAGTGCCAGGAATGGGCAAGTGATACTTTAAACTGAGTTGTTCCTGCAGCTGAGGCGTAGCGATGTTCTAGACACCTCAACCTGCATGGTGGAAAGGGGAAAGTGCTCATAATCGGCCTCTGGTGGCCAGCAGCAGCAGTGCTGCACAGCGTCTTTCACCTCCTTTCTGAAGTTGCTGTTGAGGAAACCATAGATGATGGGGTTTATGCAGGTGGAGGCCATGGCCATCAGGTGGCAGAGTGAGAAGACCAGGTTGTGGTGGCAGTGTGGGATGGCATCGTCGTGCCAGTCCGCTACTGCATTGAAAGTATTGAGCGGCAGCCAGCAGATGGCAAAGGCAGTGACCAGGGCAGCCAGCATGATATTTATGCGTTTGCTGTGACTCATGCGCCGGTTCTCCTCGGAGCTGCGGTCTAGCATGTGCCGGCGGCGCCGCAGCCGCATGAAGATGCGCAGGTAGCAAATCAGCACAAAGACCAGTGGCCCACAGTACTGGAAGACCAGCAGCCAGGTGGTGTAAGCCAACTTGTGCTGCTGCGAAGGCCAGTTCTCCATGCACACCTCCTTCTCCTCAGATTCAGGCAGCATCGTGAGCAGGTGGAAGGCCAAGAATGGCAAGGAGGTGAAGCAGCTAAGCATCCAGATTATCACAACTGCCAGGTATGCCTGGGGCACACTGGGTTTCCAGCCACTGGGGTTGATGATGAGCTGGTGCCGCTCCAGGGCTATGAGCACCAGGGATAGGATAGAGACTGTTACCGACATGCATTGGACAAAGGGTGTCAACCGGCACAGAACAGACCCAAAGATCCAGTGGTCCATCAGGGTGTAGACCACAGTGAAGGGCAGGCAGAAAGCACAGACCAGAATGTCAGAGACCGAGAGGTTGGCAATGAGGATGCTGGTCACATTGGCTTTCTCTTTCTGCCGGGCAATAATGCAGATCAGCCCCACATTGCCCAGCAGCCCCAGCACCATCACCAAGGAGTAGGAGGCGATCAGGAAGATGGTCAGTCCCTGAGAGGTCCGGCAGGGGTCCTCCGGGGGGAACTCACTTCCATTCATGGTTGTGTGCTGAAACCTGAGGAGAAGCAGAAGAACATCAATCACCACGCGGGCAGACAGTGTGAGTGAGTGGGAGAGCGGTGTTCCTGTATTCAGCCCAGTTTGGAGATATTTCTGACTGGGTAATGGCCTTATGTGCCATTGGCTCCTTCCCATTTTTATGTCAGGCAACTAGGTGTCTGCCAGCTCAGAACACATTTTGTGAAAACCCACCCATGCTAGTGTCACATGCTCACTTTTTGATGTCTATAACCAAAAATTAGTCTTCAGAACAATCTTCTAGTGCTCTTAGAAACAAATGGCCCCCAAAAATGATGACAGGCAAGAAGGACTATGCTTAGTAATGGGAAGTGAAGAAAGGGCTTTCTTCTTTTCACCTTTATCCATGCCTGCATTCTGAACAAACATGCTTTAAACATGATTGTTATTTCACGGGTAATTTACCCCCTGAAAGTATGTAGGAGAGAAAGTCTAAGGAGAAAAGAACAGCTTAAATGGAGGTCACAGAGGGCCAGTGGGCTCAGTGAAAAGGCCTCTGAAATGAGTTTTGTCATCACAGTGCAGCCGATTAATGTAGGATCCTGATAGCTGTGCTGCTCTGAGAACGATGGTTTATCATCATCAGTGAGTCATGCAGCCTTAATAAAACTGGAGGAAAAAATAGCCCTGATATTTACGCCAGAGAGCCAAATATAGGCAAATCTTTCACATCAGCATCAGTGACCCCCTTCTTTGGAGCTGATACATTTTCTAATGTCTGCTATTATTGCCCCAGGTAACACAGGCACAGGGTTTTTGCATGTGATAAGCAAGGATTCCAGCACATCAGCCCCAGGGGAAATTAAGCATCCGTGATCCTCCAACCACAGTGCCTGTCACAGCTGATACAAATATGTACAAGAATCACACAGTCCACATTCCCCATCAGACACTTGTCCTGCCATCCAGGTATATTGCAGGTTAATCAATGCTGCTTTGATTGGGGTGTTTTCACTACATTGTTTCCAGGTCATTTTCAGGTTGCGTTGTTGGGCATAACTACATACAGGTTTAATCATGAAAGGCCTTTATGTTTGTTATTGTTCCTCACAGGTAGCTGTGCTCATGATGTGAAGAAGGCCAGGAGCCAATGGTAGCAGCAAAGGGGGGGGGGGGGGGGGTGACCTAAGAGAGTGAGTTAGACATGTTTACTTATTGTGGTACCGTGGCGCTAGTGCAACAGGTAATCTGTTTACATACAGTAAATTCTCAACGTCCTTTACAGGCTGGTTTTTAGTCATGAAGGCTGCTCTGAGTAACACATGTCACAGTGACTGGCTGGCCGGCCCCATTGCTTCTCCCAGTGAACACAGGCAGGGACTGGATGCCCATCCTGGAGCCCATTATGGTCACACCGGCCGGCTAGATTACACTCTCTTACAGAAATGGGAATCAGGGGAGTTACATTAAATTATGTGGCTGATAAAGGCTTTGTCTCCACTTTTTGAGATTCTGTACTGAAGGATGAAATTCAAAAATATGTCATTACATTCCAGCATTCAAGCCTCTTTAAACATTATTACTGAAACAGAATGGGTGTCCTGACTTCAGGGTGGGGAAGCAAGGTCAAGGAATCAGGTAGACTAGGTATTTATTTAGCAAACAACATGAAACATGAAGCAAAGCAAAAGACGGACGTCAATGACTGTCCGGACTGGGTAAACATACTTTAATACGGACTTAAATACACTGGACTAATCAACAACAATGAGAAACAGCTGGTAACACGGGGATTTCACACAAGGTAGATGAGGGGGTGTGGCACATAGTAGGAGCAGATAAGCGAAGCATAACAGGACCCCCCCACAAAGGCACACACTCCGGGTGCGCCTAAGGGGAGCAAAGAGACAAAACCGGGGACACAATGGAACCTAGGGAAACAAAAGCAAAAATATCAACGAAGCACAGGGAACAGGACCGACACACAAAACAGGCACAAGGGCAACAACCAGGATATCAACTGACACACAACAAAGAATGCCGACACAGGGGCACCAGGAACAGGAACGCAGAACCCAAGGAAGGGGACAACGGAGGAACAACACCAGGGGACAAACCAACAAGAGGAGCACTGACAAGAGGGGGAAGGGACAAGAAGGGACCAGGAAGGAACAAAGGCACAGAGGGACGGGGAGCAAACGCAGAGGACACAAAGGCAGGGGGCAAGGAGGTGAAGGGCGGGGGAAACAAGGAGCCTAAGAGAACCCCAGCAGGTGGAAGGCAGGAGCCGCAGGGGCTGCAGGCGGCCGCAAGGCCAGAGCTGAAGGGACCCTCGGCGACCGTGAGGCAGAAGCTGGAGGAGACCCCGAAGGGGGCAAGGAGGAAGGTGGAGGGACTGACAGAGGAGGGAAGAGATGGAGACACTGGAGGAGGAGAGGAGGGAGCTGAAGCTGCAGCAGGCAAAGGCACCACCACAGCTGGCGAAGGTGTAGGCGACCGATGAGTCGGAGCCAGGGGACCCACAGGCGACCGACGAGGCGTCAGAGTCAGGACCGCAGCCGACCGACGAGTTACCGTAGGTGGGACCACAGGCGATTGCCAAGCCGGAGCCAGGGGAACCGCAGGCAACTGCCGAGCCAGAGCCGGAGGACCCGTAGGCGACTGCTGAGCTAAAGCCTGGGGGACCGAAGGCAAGCCAAGGGGCCGGACGGGTGGGACCCGACCCCTGCAAGAGATGAGGTCCTTCCTGGGATCTGCCTCGGAGTGACGGAGGAGGCGTCACTCCAGAGGGAATCACAGGGGAAATGAAGGTGATACCCAAGGGGTCCCATTCGAGCTCCTCCTCCATCTCCGCTAAGGGAGGAGGAGCGATAGTCTGATAGTTGGGGACCTCCTCGTGGACAGGGGGTGGAGCAGGAACCACCTTTTTTCTGAACTTGGGGACCTGCGGGATGGCATGCCCAATAGACCTGGCCCCCTTTAAGGCCAGGCGCGTCCCCTGGAAGGGACTAGCTGCCGAGACAGGCAGCAAGGCGGCGGGCAGATGAGCTGTCAGCACAGGCAGCGAAGCGGCGGGTTAAGAATCGGGAGGGGCTCCTCCTGACTCGCTGCAGGGGTGGCAGCGGAGATTGAGACAGCTCCCAGGAGGACCTTCAGCTTGTCCTCCCGTTTTCATTTTTTCCGCCTATTTTTCTTGCCCCCCTTTTCCGGCGGAGCCTGCCAAAGGACCATAAGGCAGCCTACAGTCTGTGGCTACCTGCTTCATCCTGGTTTTAGCCACCCCGTGTCTAATTGCCGCCGCAGGTATCATGCACCTCCTCCACGAGGTACGCATATTCGGACATGGATATCTCTTCGAGGATATCACTCATCCGGAAGGCGAGGGCTCAAAGCACGGGGTCGTTCCTGACCTCGGGCTGATCAAGCCAGTTGACTGTCTCATTTGCCAAACTGAGGTGCTGCTCCTCGGTCAAGCGAGGCATCTTCTTTTGGAATCCGGTCATTTTATCCTGACTTCGGCGCGGGGAAGCAGGAGCCAGAGCCGAGGAATCAGGTAGACTAGGGATTTATTTAGCAAACAACATGAAACACAAGGCAAAGCAAAAGACGGACGTCAATGACTGGACTGGGGAAACATACTTCGACACGGACTTAAATACACTGGACTAATCAACAACAACGAGAAACAGCTGGCAACACGGGGATTCCACACAGGGTAGATGAGATGGCGTGACACATGGGAGGAGCGGACGAGCGGGGCATGACAATGGGGAGCTGCTGAAGTAGCTCTCCATTCTCTGTACAGACCTACAGTATATATATCTTTCAAGCTGCATTCGTTCCACTGATGAACACAGGTGCTTTACGGTCACACAGTAATCAGTGTGCATGAAGTCAGCCAGGAGTCCAGGGCAGAGGGCAGCAATCACCTCCTCCCCAGTAACACACCCTGGAGGAACCAGAAACACAAACAAGGCATCAGTATTTTAAGGGTCTGTGTTTGCTGCATGCAGTTGAGGCTGCTATGAGGGTCAGTCTCTCCATCAGTGCCTGCCTAAAACACACACTGTCTCTGTGACCTTCATGTATCTGTGTCTCCCTATCTGAGGACTGAGTACTTGTATGTAATGCAGAGGATTAGACTGGCATTATCTCTAGGGTGACATGAACCTTCAGAGCAGCGCCAGGTCCTGTCCTCTGTGCAGAAAGCTGCAGGTAAATGAGGGTTTCTTGCTAGGCTTTGCTATTTTCCTGCACGTTGCTGCAAAGGCCACCCTGCCACCCCAAAAACCATAGTGCCTGTGAATGTGCTCTCGCTGCTGTCTGCACCTCACTCCTGTTGCATGTTGTAGGAATAATTGCCGTGCCTATTATGCATGCCATTAGGCTTCGGTTTGGTGTATTTTTAGACAAGAGTAATTTGCATGTTGTGGAAGGTGACATGTGTCGATACTGGCTGTGGGGTGGTGAGGGTATGTGACTGTTAGATGGGGTAAGCTAAGATAGCACTACCTGCTGTCGGCTCATCATATACTCATTCGTCTACCTTTAATGATCCAGTCAAGCTTGTTATGAATCTGGAGCAGGCTGGGCACAGCCCGGATGGCTCTCACAGTGTACTGACATGGTCACAAGGGGATTAATTTTATGTAGCCTGTGGGTCATGTTTGGATTGGGGACTGGTAGTGACAGCCATTTTTCTGTCCTGGGGTTCCCTCCCTCTTTTGCTTGGGTGCAGTTACACAGTCCTGCTCTGCCGGTGTTGCTAATTGGGGATTAGGACGGGCATTGATTGGGCCACCTATATATAACTTAGTTAGGAACACAAAGGGACGTGGGGTCCTCGCAGCAGCAGGGTATCTGATGCAGTTTGTGGTGTAGCAGCGTTTGGGCTGTCTCTGCTTTCAGGTTTACATGGCTGCGCTGCATTGCTAGTTGCTGTTTTCTGTACAGTGTGACTGTGGTGCTGCTCAGTTTATATATGTATTTTGTTTTCCTCTAGCCTGAGCGCTATAGCAATATACAGATTCATATCCACATCTTCCCCTTGTGACCTGCTGACTCTTACTGCTCCGTAAATTCTACAAAAAGGTCTTTGTAACTTCTGCTGTAAAAAAAACTTTTCTAGCTTTTGCAAGATGGTTTTTATGTTCAGTGCAGTGTTTTGGAAAGAGCGTCCCTGGGTCATTGTATAAGATAAGCCGCCAAGTCGTTTATACAAACTCACAGTGCAAAGCAGCTGGGTTTCCTGATTCACCTCTTGGCTTCAGTCATGCTTAGACAGTTTTTGGTTCCGGTCTCCCTGGTCTGTCTAGAGTAAACACAATGCTCTCTATGGTCCCAGTTGCTCTCCCTACATGCATATTTGGATTACAGAACAGTATTGACTATACTGGTTCCTATTCACTTGCAAATATGTCTCCACTCTGCATCTTTGTTATCTTGTGTTGTGCTCACCTGAGTAATTGAGAGCAGGTTTTGTAATTTGAATAATTTACTGTGAATAGCTTGAACCTGAGTACAGAATAGATATTTTCTCCTTGGTAATTATATTTGTATTGTAAGTTGCTTGCATATTTTAAAGTGTAATTAAACCTGATTTACACTTATTTGTTAGTGATTTGTTAGTGATTCTATTATCTTAGCCAGGGTCTGAGCTGTGGCAGCATTAACTGCATTTGATAAACCATCCAGTGGCAGATTGTGTGAGGCTAAGTGACATTTGGGGAAGCAATCCCCCCCCCCCCCTCTGTGATCACAAGTGGAGAGAGTAGGGGGATTGTCAGTAATGTCAATCAAACATGAGCAGAACATCACCATACTCCCAAGTCACTTTCTCTGTTTCTTGTAATGAGGGGCAGAGTGAGGCTTGCTGCAGGCTCTAATGCGTGCTGATCCAAGAAACTTGTTTCTATTCTGCGTCAATGACACAAAGAACCACAAGAACAAGGGTCCCTGTGGCTGCGGTGATAGCTGCATTTTCTAAATGCTGCAGGAACACGTTTGGAGATTGCAAACTGGTGAACTGAAGCTGACTGGGCCTTAAAAGCGCATGTGGCAGTGGCGGGATTTCACGTCCGCAGCGGTGTCCTGGGGTACGGATCAGTGTCCCATTGGTGCCTGCTAGAACCAGGACTTCCAAAGATCTAACCCCTCCCAGCCTATGTGGCAAGTATGGAAAGAGAAGGCTCCCAGAACATACTCACTGCAAGTCACCTCAGCATAGTTTGTCTAAAAAAAAAATACCAGGGAGACGTTAAAAGACATACCACTCTATAAAACTGGGGAGTCTGTCTGTTGGAGGTTCCCAGCACAATCAAAATAAAACACTGTTTAACTCACCGTGATAAAAGTCTCAGAATATAATTTACAACAGTGTTTGATAGGGCTGTTCCAGTGTGTGAGCAAGATAGTAGGAAGTGCCAAAGAAAGCCGCAGATTCTGTTTTTCCTGGGGCCAGTGTTGGCGAATCAGGGGCCCAAGGAGCAGAAGCTTTGCGCGGAAATGCCTCTCGTTTCAGTGGAGTATTTTATACTTTATATAGCATCTTTCACAGTCATCCCAAGGCTTTTTACATGGTTCTGTTATGATACACTCCTGTATCATTTATACAGAATAAGTCAAAAACAGGGAAAAGGGAAGACAAAGAAATGAAAGAAAGAAATCCAGATGACCCCATCTCCAACCAGCCCTGCGTTCCACCAAATCTTTAGATAAGTGCTTGTTAACAATAGACTGGTTTCTCTCTTTCCTACTCACTTTTTTGTGATCACATCACAAAAGTTTGGCACTCTCAGCAGCAGTTTAATGGATGACAGTGACCTCCTAAGTGGCACGTTGCATCTGTCACATCCATGGTAATTGGTCACCTCATTGGCTGCCTCACTGTTAACAAGTGGCAGTACACCATTTGTGTTCTCCTGTGCCTGACTAGGAGACGACCCCAGTAAGCTGTGGTATCATTCCACTGATCTGGAGAAAATCAATGCTCATTAACAGTTCTGAGGTCTTTACTGGATCTAGAGTAAGCTAGCACAGTATCCCTGGTGCAGGACATACAGTGTGATCACTGGGTGATGCCATCACCCAAGCTCTCCTGCCACAGTGGAAGTGTCTCTTATGCCTTCATGGTAAAATGCCATTAGAAGGAAATGACCTCTCTTCCCTGTGACAGAAGGCGGTTTTGACATTAATCCATTTGTGCACTGAGTGGCCTGATCTAATCAATTATGGTCAGGTGGTCAGAGACGCCTTTAAATAGGGCATCCAACTTTTCCACACAAAGATGTCTGTATAAACACATTCAGTTTCAGGTCGCTAACTAATGACCCCCCCCCC